TTTCGTTTGGTGCTTTGAGATAATTGAAATCTTTTAAAAATTTTGTTTTTCACGACGCTCGGATGTTCATAGCAATTTCTTACAAGTTTTATACAGGCTGCGCGTTACGAGAACGTTACACACCAAAAAGTGACGTATAGCATAGTTTCTTCTTTAGCACAGAAATCTCATAACACACAAGACAATCATCCGTATATATCTACGCAATCACAGTATACGAAAAAATTTTGTCATGTAACTATAAATTGAAGGATAATAACTAGATACTAAGATATGCCAGAGTTAATAAATAAATCTCGTGTTTCAACTTCCTCTTGCACCGGACCCCTCGATTATTCGTAAACTACAATGAAATATTAATTTATGTACAATTCCATAAAAATTCTTAAAGTAAGTCACGAAATTTAGTCTTTTTTTTTTTTTCCTTGTAGAATATCTATCGATTACCTTTTAGTTCTACAATGTCTTATAGTTGAATATAATGTCTCGTTTGTAATAAATTTATTACTATTCGTTACATTAGGTTTTTAGTTCGGTTAGGGCACATTTTAATACATTTCCATCGCAAAAAGGGATAGAAAGAGAAATGAAGTAGAGTTATTGAATGTTACGTAATATTGTTTGTAGAAAGAGAATCTTTATATGTTCATGTTTAATTAATATCTCCGAATGAGAAACTATCGTACATATATTTACGAGTGATGTAATATTAACATGATAATGGACATGTTACAAAACGAAATTAAACTTTCAACAATAAATTATATATATTTTATTAAATGTATATATATTTTATTAAAAAGACAAAAGAATATTAATGAATTTTTTATTCCGAACAAATACAAAAATATACGTAGTATAGAAAGAAAGAACAAGTTGAATTTAATTATTGAAAGTCAAATTTAGTACATATGATCTTAGCATGCCCTTTGGTCCCTTTTCTAAATGTGAAAATTGAAACAGAACTTTATTCCAAGGAAATAAAGTAAAAGGATGGTAATTACGTGTAAGAACTATATTTCTTTCAATAGTAAACTAATGTTAAAGTAACGAATAATTAAGTACTATCATATACTTGAGATATAAAAATTGATTCTTATTTTTTATTTTTTACACAAAATATATGCAAGTTAACCAAGATAAATGAAATAAACTCATTTTTCTGATTTTGGATTTGTACTATTTGTCAATTGAAGAGTTCACATTAATTAACAAACTATCACCAATTATAAACCATACAGTAAGGCCATGAATCTTGGGACAAAGGGCATTAAAACATCAGATTTTTTTCACCTTGACACGTTGACTGCCATCATATTGCTCACCTGTAACGAATGAGTAAAATAAAATGAATATCGTCAACTAAAAAATTTGGATCACAGCTAACTATTATGAAATAAAAAATGCATTATTCAACAATTGAAGATTTTAATTGAAACATTATACATTGTATTAAAACGTCTTGTGACCCTCTGCGAGAATCAGGTGGCTCTCTGACGTGGCAGTCAATGTGTTAAGCATTTTTTTGTGTTTTAAATATTAGAATCCCAATATTGAGTAACAGCTCATTCGAGTCCAGATTGCTTCCAATGTACCTAACGTGAACTATTAAAAATCATCCCTAGAAAAACAAATGCATTGTTGTCCATTAGCATAGATGTATCTGACATATGCCAGATCATCGAACATACAATCGGTCACGAAAATATTCGGACACCAGTATAGATTTGATCTTTATCTGTTCTGTATTTTATCCAGATGTACGAAGGACTAAAAAAATGTACTATGCTACGATAGAGTGCTGTTTTTAGATAACAAGAATGCAAAAACCTTTTATGTATTGCGTATCATTGTTTAAATAATGGAAGAAAATCGAAGAAATCGCTAATTTGAAGATCACAGACAAATATTCGGACATTATTAAAATTAAGTTTATAAAATTAATTAACCAAGGATTAATATTCTGTGGGATATCCTTTTTGTTGCACAACATGTCTTAGACGTGTTGGCATGTTGTAAATAATCTTTTGTAAATTAATGTCAATGCGGTTCCAGTCTTCCACGAGCCGATTTCTTAACTCTTCTTTTGATTTTATGGTGGTAGTTTTTCGAATTCGCCGGTCCAGTTCATCCCACAAGTTTTCGATGGGATTTAACTCAGGCGATTGTGGAGGCGGCTGTAAGACATTAGCACAAGTATAATACAAAAATTCTTGAACAATCCGTGCTTTGTGTTTCAGGATCGTTGTCCTGATAAAACTTCAATCCTTGTTCGATTCCCATTTTGGTAGCACTTTTTTTAAAATTATTTTGTAAAATGCTCCGATATTTATTTTTTGTCAAGAATATTGTCGATAAATACTAATTCTCCCACTTCGTGTGCTGAAATGCATCCCCACACCATTACAGAACCGCCGCCGTGTTTTACGGTAGGTTATAATGTTTTAGGTTTAATTCTTCTTTCCTCTTTCTCCACACTCTGACTCTTCCATCGCCACCATACACATTAAATTTGCTCTCGTCGGCAAAAATCACATTACTCCACCACTCATCCTCTTTTGAAATGTATTCTTTAGCGTACTGAAGTCTCTTCTTTCTATTTCTGGCATTAATATATGGTTTTTTCCTGACTATTCGGCCATTGTAGCCTTCTGCAGTACTCTTCGCACGTTTTCTGGGTGAACAGTGATACCGCGTTCTTTTCTTTAGCATTGTTAAGCTAATTTTGAAGCACTTGTCTGTGGTTCTTTTTTAATTTTTCTGATAATGTCACGTCTATCACAGAACATTCAGAATACGCGGACGTCCACTCTGACGAATAAAATCAATTCTGTCTTCATTTTTATATCTTTTTATTATGCCCGCTACAGTGTTCTTACTGATATTTAAGGGACTTGAAATTTCTCGAAATGATTTTCCCTTTTCCCGGTAGAAAATCACTGACGTATGTCGAAAAAAGTGTTTTTACCTTTATGACCCATTTCTCAATGAATTTGGAATACAACTGATGAATATTCGACTGTTAACCTTCTCTGTGTAGCCTGCACAAACACTGTACTTGTAGCTTTCACAGAAATAATAAATTGTCATATATACTAACAGTATACCACGGTGTCCGAATATTTCTGTGACCTGCAAATTAGTGATTTCTTCGATTTTCTTCCATTATAAACAATGATACGCAATACATAAAATGTTTTCGCATTCTTGTTATCTAAAAACAGCACTCTATCGTAGCATAGTACATGTTTTTAGTCCTTCGTACATCTGGATGAAATACAGAACATAAAGATCAAATCTATACTGGTGTCTGAATATTTTCGTGACCGATTGTACATGGCATGACAGAATACACAAACAAGTTAGCATCGGAAAACTTGGATCTCTACAGAAAAGATTCCTGTAACATTCGGTTTAGTGAATTCTGTCATTTGTGACACAACTTTCATTCACTGTCGTCGAAGTGACTCTGAGGATTCATTCAATGAAAAGGTTGAGATCCTCTTTCTAAAACTTGTAGTTTATCCTAAAAAAAAAATTAAAAACTTTTGAAAAACCTATCGTAAATAAGTTTATAATAATCCGGAATAAGAATTAAGGAAGTTTTAGAGAAGCTGGGATTGCAGTAACAATATTCTCTTCTCTTGGAAAAAAATGTTCAAATCAATGACGTTTCTGAGATGAGAAAGAAAATATGTTTTCTCGGATAAATATTTAATTGTTTTATATCAATAATGAAATAGAAATGCATTTAATACAACAGATACAAGGAATCAAATGCTCAGGCTCGCTCAACTTTCGTTTATAAAATATACAAGAATTATTCCGATTATTCGGCATACTCAGGCGCCGGACTGGTAATTGGATTGCATGGAGTCATAAAAATGAAAAAAATATATTAAAAAACGGTCATAATTTAGATAATATAGAAATGCAATTCTACAGACATAGAACTGTTCTATAAACTAGCATCAAGAGAAACAGCATTGCATCCACAGTGGAGTTCGCGAGGAGCTCACTAATAAATCAAAATTACAAGCTTGTTCGATCGGTGTTTATCGACGGTCCATTGTTGACCTTGCTCGTATTTATGTTGTAAATGTTACAAACGCATCCAGACACGCTTTGAATTTGCGAACAGATTGTGTATTGCCCAACATTATAACGTACAAGTTTCATTGATAAAATATTAGTTATTTAATAATTTTGATAATATAAGAAATTAGTATGTAGTATGTAGTAGTAACATTACATTATGAACGTAAGTAGTGTTATAGAATCTAAAATGATGTACGAGACGACTTTGTGGTTTATTGATGAGAAATTCTATGATTGGTCCTTGGTCAATAAATTTTTCTTCGCAATTTTATGATGCCATAATACACGATGCAAGATTTGTTATGAATCATTAAATAAGAAAATAGCATGAGAGGATTTATATACTAACGACTTTTAAGCAACAATTTGAGGAAGATACTGTTTATCTTCTTCAAATTGTTACTTAAAAAATTTACAAGCTATGCAATTAACATTTTATAACGTTTACTTACATTCATAGTATATTAGATACATAAATTTAATTATAGATAGTATTAACAGTAATTGTACATTCATGTATATACGAAGTTTAACACGTTAACTGCCATGCTAGATTTACGATGAAAATCACAAATTATTTTAATATACCGTACTTAAATATGTTTTAATTAAAATCTGTAATTGTTGAGTAGCACATTTTTTTATTTCACAATATTGATTAAAAGCTACGACGTTCAAAATTTTGTAGTCGACGATATTCATTTTATTTTACTTATTCGAAACATTTGAAGCATTCCGGTCATTAAACAAGTTAATAATCATTATGGTTCTATCAAGGAAACAATCTCTAATCACAGATGATCAATGTAGCAGTCAACAAGTTAAAATTGAAGTTAAAAACTTGTTCGTGTTCTTTTCTTATAAAATTAAAGAGGATAACGATAGACGTTAAATAAAACAAATATTTGGGCAGTAATTTTATGCGGAAAGTACTGTATTTATTTTTTGTTATTCATATAATTAACAGTAAATCATATAGTTTAATGTCAGTAAATAACCATCTTTTAAATTGTCATAACCAAAACATTCATAACCAAAATAAACGTGGAGGAAATCTTCAAAACACCCGACCCCCTTGAGGAAAAGGGCAGGGTAGTGTCGGATTTACCAACTGAAACCTCCACGGTGGCACGCTCTCCGCGTAGAAAGGGGAGCCCCGGGATTCTCCGGTGCTCCCCCATACATCCTTGCCTTTCGGTCCATTTTTGGGGGATGGAAGACCCCCCCCCCCCTCCATTCTCCATTGATGGTTCCTCAAATAATTGCCAACGCACCAGGGTGCCACACCCGGTGCTGTTTCTCCTCAAGATCTCCTAAGATCCTAAAAGAAAAATGTAATTATTAATTCAATGTAACATTAAAGTTTGTATATGCATATAAATTTTTGTTTATCTCAGTGTGATACGTTGGGATTTTTTAAGTTTCTTCACTATATTCAGTCCCGAAAGTGGATCATCATATTTCAAAAATTTTGTAAATAAAATAAGTTACACAGAGTATTGATTTTAATCTATAAATGCATATGTATTTTAAATAAAATCAAGTAATTTTTGACACACTAATCAACATAATTCATAAATTTTTAGAAATGTTCATTAATCAATCATATGAAAAATAAGGACAGTATTAATACAGAAATATTGCACTCATCTTTTTTCTTCATTTATATGATAGATATAATGAAATCAAAGTTGAATTATTTTTTAAATTAATAGTTTATTTTCGACACGATACTTTTTGTAAAGAATGTCAAACGACACTGATTAGTTAATTAGTTAATTAATTAATTAATTAAAATTTTAATGATGTCCTAATACAAAACAAGAGAAAAATTCATTTCCTGAGAAGTCTACAAAAATAAACAATTTAAATTATAGATCAAATGAATAATTTTGTAATAACGAATTAACATTCTAAAACTATTTGATGTGCCGAAAAATAAATCAATATAGCTCGCATGGCGATTATTTTCATTTACATATTTTGGTAATTGGAGTTGATGGTTTCTTAAACAAAAAGTCGACGTCAAATAATATAGAATGCAGGTTACAAAAGACATAATTGATTATTATTGAAAATTATAAAAAATAATTTTTGTGCATAACAACCTAATATTGAAAAATAATAATTACATCCTTAGAATAATTCACTTAATATTTGAACTATTGTACAACGGTGGTTTACCAGTTACTTGCATTTATAGATTCAAATCGGTTTTTATACACTCTGTATAAATTACGCATTTAAGAAAATATATATTACCTTGTGTATGAAAAACCAGTCTCATTCCAAAATGATACTTGCTGTTCGTATAATGTACAAAATTAATTTTTTGATCTCGTCAAATGACAAAACAGATAAATCAAAACTTTATGCTAGTTCATTATCAATTCGTGCCTTATTTCTCTTATATTTTTGATATAACCGTAATGTTTCCAACTTTTGTCACATGATTAGTTTCATCAATTTTGAATTTAACACATCCTGGGTTTTGCTCCTACAAAACATGAAATATTTTATTCATATTATGTATAAATGTCAATTTAATTAAAATTTTTAAAGCAATACATTCAGAATATATTGAGTTATTAAAATCTGTCGTTACAAAAAGAAATCTCAGTTTAATAAAGAAGAGTAAGAAAGAAATTGAAACAAACCTTATGATCTCAGAATTTTGTTGTATATGTATTTTTGTATGTTAAGCATACTCGAGTTTCTTCAAAGTAGAAACAACCACAAATCTGTGAATAGATCTATTAACAAAAAAAAGTTAATTATAATTATCCTAAATTCAAGTCAACAAATAAATACTATTACAAGTATTGTTATTTCACTATTATACAAGTATATAATAATATACGTAATGATTTTTATGCACATTTACCTTTTTTATTTCTCAATACAATTTATTCACATCCTCAACCAGTAACTGCTACGAGTATCTGTAAACATAAAAACAATGTATTAACTTTTAATACAGAATGTGATATATAAGTTAACAGCTGTCAAATAAAATCAATAATACGTTTGTTGTTAGAGATCCTTTCAGAATCTTAAATTTTAGGAGTACATCTTGCCAAATATAAGTAAATATACTTTTATAAGTATAGTTTCAGTTGTATTACATGAAATATTTTTTACCCTTTCAATAATTAAAACTGTTAGTAAAAATGCATGCTACGTATTACATATTTTCATAATAAATGTATAATGTAAAGAAATAATTGCTTCTAGTTCAGTCTGTATTTTGAATTGTTTTGAAAAAAATATATTAAAAATATAATACCATTTCATACGCAGCTTTTCGAAGAATGTTTAGCTACTTTGTTTCAGAAACATATTTACAAACAAACAAATTAAAATCAATCGTTTACATATTTAAAAATAGTGTAAATTCTATAGCTGTTGCGTATTTTTAGTTTACCAACTTTCAGATTTTAAAAAGTAAAAATATCCAAGTATTTTAAGTAATATTCAATAACATTAAATGCGTGATTGTACATGTATAGTCTATTTGATAAAATGGCCTGTGTGTATTTGGCCCTCGAGAAATGAGAGAATAATAGTCGATACGATAAGTTTTGCCGGTCAAATAGTAATTAGGTATATCAGCCTAGATTTCAATAACGAACCCAGACAACCTTCGCTAAAGTTGGTATACAAGTATATTTTGGTTGTCAAAGGTAAAAATAACGTCTAGGCTGGTAAATTTGCTCACAATTAGAAGGTTCCTAGAGAATTATGTAACGAAACAATTAAATTTTCAGAAGAGTTATTACGGTTGTAGATAAAGTCACTGAAGTACGTTGGACATGTAATAAAACAAATCATTTTATATGGTAATTACCTATTTGCTAAACTTTAAAAAGTCTCATAATGTTACAAGTTCAACTTTGCTGGTAAAGATTAGAAAAATCATGAAGTGATTCGTTGGAAAATAAACCAAGTTCCACAGTAACTGTGAATATAATCAATGTTAAATAAATGAAATGATTAAATACATGTAACGTTTATCAAGTATCTTCCTTCACTTAATATTTTTGAAGTATCTTACTGTGATGATCTTTTTTTTATAATCTTTACCATATACTCATATGAATGTCCCACCCGAAGATTAAAATAGAATTAACGCATAATAACAGTTTTACAAAATCTACTCACCTCGTACCAGTAGTTTCACTGATTAGTAGTTTCAAGTATGTAAGCCTATCTTGTGATTGTAGACTCTCCTCCGTTTAAGAGATTCTTGATTAATAACGGTCAGTTTATATCGCGCATTAGTTGTTCGCAATTGATTGCAATTGCGTATACATATGCACATACTGGTTTTCTTCGAGAAAGAAGTTGAATAACTTTCATCGCAAGAAACAATTGTGTATCTTTGTGTTATAGAATGTGTATACGAGATTTTCAGAATAACTCCCAAACAAAATAGTTATAGTCAGGCCATATTCTTTTTTCACAAATAATGGTAAATTTAGAAGATCCTTATTTATTAAGACCCCTCTTATGTATACACATGTTGTGCAACACGCACAAATTTTTTAGGGTTGCTATTGAGGTGATACTGAAAATTCAGGAGCGTTCACGAAATGGTTATATTCTAGCAAAATGACTAAAGAATTGACTTTCGTTTCATTTCAAATGAATACAAGGATTTTTATCTGATGGATGAATTTATACTAGATATTTTTGATGCACTGTTCATAAAGTAGCGGTTATTGCAATACAAGAGAATCCAATGGTAGTAACTAAACTTGAAAATAATTGAAAACTTTTCAAAGACTATATAATAAGATTGTAAGATTAAGATTGTTGAAGTTACAACATAGTTTAAAACAGATTTTATTGAAATATATTTTTGAATAAGGAAAAGCAAATATATGTGAAAAATACAAAATACTTCTATAATAAAAAAATTCTACTACTAAATTTACATTATTAAAAAATTGATAGAAATAACATGAACTGTATAATGTGTGAGAGATCCATTATGTTGAAGATTTCCTGAAAGAAATATAGTGATATTTGAAGATAAAGAATAAATCTTTAGATAATAAAACGGAATAGATAATTTCTTTATATTAGTTTCACTATAATTTAGAAATTTCCTTTAGGCAAATACTTCTCATTATGCGATACATAATTGCCTATTATTTTATTTAAAATGTTAATATTAAAATTTAAATTTCCTCCCAAAATGATGCATAATCCAAAAATTTAGTATTTTATCTGAAACAAATCCTATCTTTATTTTATAAGGATTAGATTAAAAATATATTTTATAACGACAGTATTTAAGTTGCTATCATACAAATACTGTTGTTATCATTTTTGCATTTTTTAGATAAAGTGTTTCTATCCTTTTAAAAAGTTCACAACTCATATTTAGGAAATATTTCAGAAATATAATGATGTTAAAATATTTTCACTTGACGTTTACAAAGTGACTGATTAAAGATATAATAGTAAATAAATTTAAACTCCAAACGTTTCCCAGTATACTTCTATAAGAAAAATATTTATAATTAATATTTATAATCAAATAATTACATGGATTGTGATAAATTTTGACTTCAATTCAAATTCGTAGTATAAGATTTTTCCTTGAAAAATGATGTAAAATATATGTGTGTAACTATGTAGTACACAATCATTATTTTAGTAATATTAAGAGTCGCAGAAATGTAAATTATAACTTGTATGAGTGTATTATTTAATTTCCTACAACTACAACAATTTTGTGAACAGGTCGTATATTATACGTGATATATGTTTAAGAGTTCATAATCAACGACCATTAAGCACAAACCAACACTGTAAATAAAAATATAGCAAATTTTCGCATCTTTTAATTCAACACAATATTCGCGAAACTTGCATAATGAAGAAGATTAGTAATTAAATAAATAGTTTCTATGTATGGATATACGTAGACCTTTATTCATAAAATTACTTCTTGTTAATTAAATTTCTTCACAAAATTTGAATACCATAATTGCAGATGAATCTGCTGAGATATATATCTTATTCTAACATAATTAATTGTATAAAGCTTCAAGTAATGCAGATATTTGCATTCACTTCTTTTCTACATTTTCACATTGCCATTAACTTAAAAACATCTTTGATACGTATACATATACGTCTGTGCAATTTTACTTGTTATTAGAAAGATGAATTACCAAATGATTGATATTGTTTTTAGTTAATATCAAACGCACTCATTACTTATAAACTAATTTAATTCTTCTTTTCTGTTTTTTTCTTTTTAAGTTATAAAGTACAAAGCTAAGGATACGATCAGACTATATACTTTCAGCTTGGAAAACTACTAAATGAACCGAAACGACAAACTATGAATTATAGTATGCAGTATGATGATGTATAATAATAATAATAATAATAATAATAATAATAATAAAAACTAATATGCTACGTTATTTGTAATATTTACATGTTATCTCATGAAGTAAAACATCTATTAGATTATCTTAGTCACTGCTAATTGACAATTAATATACTTTGTAATGTCTATATTACTGCACGTTGGGATAACAAAAATTCACAAAGTGACACTATAAACTGAGGGTTCAATCTTCCTATTATATGCGATTCTATTTTTCCAGAGGAAAGTTTCGTAGAGAAATAAAATGTGTACGATTTAGATTATTTTTTCTCTGTCTCTCTCTCTCTCTTTTTTTATAAGTGATATGATCGTGTTAGTAATCAAAGTTTTAACAGTACGATTCAAAAGAATGTTTATCAAAGTCTTTAGAACGTGTCAATACATCAAAATCATTAGTATTATGAAGTTCTTTTAAAGAATTGTCCCTTTATTCAACACGCATTCGCTATCTTATACGTGATAAGGGAGTATCCTCATCTTGTCGGCTTTGAAAAATCGAAATTTTCTTAATATCTTGTCGAATATCAAAATTCAAAAAAACTGGTGAATGAATTTTGTCAAAGAGAGATTTCCGACCAGTTGTTTATCGAAGTGATGTTAGGAAACTATGTTTTGAAACATTATTTGAACTGATGTGTGGAGTGTGATTTACACGCAAAACAATGAGTGTAGGATTCTCTCTGTATGTTGGACAATTTGTCCCGAAGACGACGATCTATCGTAGGAAAATGGTTTTATATTCCAACATGGGCATAAAACCATATTATTAATGAAGCAATTTATGATTCTGACAATCGGAAGCAATGCGAATAACCAACTTTTGTGAGGAAGTAAACGAGCGATGATTTGAGATACATTGGGATTCAGGGACTCGTGAGTAAAAAAATCCAAGGAAACTCGGTAATCGCTAAGAGTAGTTCAGAAACAAATCGGCGAGCTGAGAGAGATTAGTTTGATGCTAATCTGAAGTTTAAAATCTCGTTGTGAACTTTGAGTTGCCAACTAGGGATAAATCTTAAAAAATCTTTAAGAAACGTGGCTTAGACTTTCAGCCACGTTTTTCTCGAAATACTGCATAATAGTGCCTAAAATAAATATAATCTACTGAAAATTGACATGTTTCAATACTTTAAATTTTTAGGTATTCATTCTTATAAAATCATATGATAAAATGAACAGCTATTCTTTCAAGTTATTTAAGAATCATTAGCGACATTACAGATAATTTGTTCTTGCTCAAATTGACAAAAATTCTCTGATGTTTTACGTTTTCAGTCACTTTTCATGCTAGATACCAAGTATTTTGTTAGATGTACCAATAGATAAACGTTGTGACTTTAAGTGACGTTTCCTAACATGTTCTAAAGAAAATTCTAATACTTTGCATTGCAATCAGCCTGAGGAGGAAATTAATTTACTTACTTAGTCTTACAAGATGGGGTACTCCCTTAAAACTGTAAAAGTAATTTCTTATCAGTAAAATAATTCGCGATATCATGAAATCAGATGCGCATTGAAAGATATAAAATCACACTCTCTCAATCGTTACATGTTACTTTTCAAGGTTATCTTTCTTCTTGTCAATACTCTCACGTCAATGCACAGTGTTTCGACCAATGGACAAAAATAAGAAAAAGTCTGTCACTACAATGATCTAATTACGAATGATACACCAATATATAAATTATTAATCTATGGAATAGATATTATTACATACACGATGGAACCCATCAGAAAGAAGAATATCTGAAGAAGCTATATAAAGACTAAACACAAGGAAACAAGACACATGTGGAAACGTCATACCTGATCGAATACATTTTTAGAGAACTGCAATCAGAATTTGTAAAATTTACTGGTCGTAAAACTGAACAGTGTCAATTCACGGGAAAGATGTAGTAGGATCTAAAAAATTAAATTAGCAGTATAACAAACGACGCGTCTGTCCTGAATCCGATTTTAAATTTTTTTTTTTTTTTTATTTCGAAGGAGCGTGTAATTAAAAAGAAAAAAATCTTGTATGATACGATTATTATCTCGAACGCCCATGTACTCGAAATACTGTGCTACGGTATAAATGTGACGATAATCAATTGCTGAAAAAAAAAATGACTGAAGAATACAACGAACGAGCGATTCTTAATTGATAAAAAAAAAAAAAAGAAAGTTATTTTAATATAAAAGATATTACATCGTATTTTTTGTTAACACAATATCGTGTTATCTGCAGTCCGTTGTGTACAAATTGTCGACAAATAATATTGAAAATTTGCAGGAGAATTGTTACAGCATGCAGAGCTGTGCGATCGAGCCAATTTAATAATGGCAACAACACGTTCAACTTCTGCACAAAGGAAAAA